AGAGAGAGAGAGAGAGAGAGAGAGAGAGAGAGAGAGAGAGAGAGAGAGAGAGAGAGAGAGAGAGACCCGATGACGTGTATCACGACTGACACTTTAATGCTCTATCCTCTCATAATTTTGCGGAACTTTTTATGTCATTTATAATTTTCATCTCAATGGAGAGCCCGATGGGTTTCTCTACATACACACACACATATACATACATACGCACACACGCATGTATATACACGCACACACACATGTATGCACACACACACACTCATATATACTCTCTCTCCATATACACACACACACTCACACATACACTCTCGATATATGTACACACAAACATGCACTGTCAATTTCATGTGGCTAGACTCGCTACACATTCATCCTTTGTTTTTAAATTTGACATTTTCTCTTGTGGAGCTTCTAAGGAGTCACTCTCCTTTGTCCCCCTCTTTCTGCTCCTCGATATCTTCCCCAACATGTTCACCGCTATTACGTCCCTCTGCATGTATGTCATGCCCTTCCTTGCTCTTCGAAACACAATTAATCACATAGCCCGATGTGGTTGATCCCTCGAGTTTCTTCCTCTCCGTGCTTTCCACATCAGTCAATACGTTCATAATCCCATTTGAGTTTTCATGCACGTCATCTACAAGTTTTGTACACACACATGCGTGCATTCCCTTTGGAACCGCAATCTCCGCTGTGGGAGTGAGACTCTTCATCTGCGATGCCCCTTTGTTTCTGGCCTATGTTACAGAGGAGGCCCGTATAATTCAACGTTTGATGTTTGTTCGTCCACTAGGCACGTACGAGCTCCCTTAACACTCATAACGACCCTGCCTCCCTTGTTTGAAGATACAACTCTTTTCATTGAGGTCGTTGTTGCCGCCCACATGCCATCTCCCTGAAGAATGGTTTTTCTCATCTCTGTGTCGTTTACTGCGACACGCGTTTGACTCATTGTTTCTCCAACACTCACTGTAAACTTAGTTCGTGACTTTACCACAAGCTGAGAACATCCTAAATTTGATACTCTCGATCCCATGACATGCGAGAGTATGTTCGATCTTCCAATCGATTCTCTTATATGCGCGGCTTGACGAAAAATCATAAAATTGATGCTTATTCTTCAAAAGATTTTCGGAGCATAGAGAGTCGAACAACGATTGAGCCTTTATGAAGACGACAACTTTATCAGCGCTTTGGTTTCCCTTCTTGACGAGGAACACGATTTCGTGCTTTATCACTTTCATCCATGTATCTTCGGGCAGACTGGTTTGAGTTTCCAACCCATGTATAAATGAAGTGTCATCGTCCACTTCCGCTCATGAATGCACACCTCGAACATATCCGAGTGGTACAAGATGTGATGCCCCTCACTTCTGCGATGATGTCTCTCTCCCTATGTCAAGGAGGAAGTATGGTGCGGTAGACTCCTGCACGAGACCGTCACAAATATCATGATATGGCATTAGCTTGGGGAAGATAACCGGAACAACCTGGTCATCCTCGTCAGCGTCTTTCCAGACATCGTGACTTTTGTTTCCTCCTGACGTTTTGTCCGTGGACCCTTACCCTCCTTGTTACTCGTAGTTTTTGCCGTGCACCACCGTGTCCAAAAGAATTTGGAGAGACATTGGTGAATCCTTTGGGTACACATCAACGAAAGTTGGTGTGTCGTGCACGTTAGCTACATGAGTGCTCACACCTCCGGAGTTTACAAGTGGATGCCCGTATGATTCAACGTTCCATTTTTATTCCTCCACTAGCGACGTACGAGCTACATCAACACCCGTAACGACCTTGCCTTCCTTATCTGACGATACCATTTTATTCGTTGTGGTCATTGTTGTCGTTCGCATGCCATCTCCCTAAAGAAGGGTTTTTCCCTTCTCTGTGTCGTTTATTGCGACACACATTTGGCTCATAGCTTCGCCAACACTCACGACAAACTTAGTTTGTGACATTACAAACTGAGAATGTCCCGCCTCGATACTCTCGATCCCTGACATGCGGGAGGATGTTCGATCTTCCAATTGATTCTGTTATATGAACGGTTTGACAGAAAGTCGTAAAATTGATGCTTATACTCTAAGCGATTGTCGGAGCGTAGAGAGTCGAACAACGATTGAGCCTTTTCGAAGACAACAACTTCATCGATGTCGTGGTTTTCCTTCCTCATGCGGCATACGATTTTGCCCTTTGTCACTTTCAGCCTCCTATGTTCGGGCAGACAGGGTTTTGGTTTCCAACCCTTGTACAAATGCAGTGCCATCGTCCACTTCCCCTCGTGAATGCACAACTCGAACACATCTAGGTGCCACAAAATGTGATGCCCCCACTTTTGGAATGATGTTTTTTTCCCCATGTCAGGGAGGAAGTATGATGCTATGGAGTATTGCATGAGGCCGTCTGAAATATTGTCACCTGACATCAACTTCAGGAAGATAGCCGAAACAACCAGATCATCCTCGTCAGCATCGTCCCAAATGTCGTTACATCTGTTTCCTCTTGATGTTTTGCGCCTCGACCTCTTCCCTCCTTGATACCCGTAGCAATTACCGTGCACCACGGTGATTACAGAAGTTTGGAGGGGCGTCGGTGAATCCTTCAGGTACGCATCAACGGAATTTGACCTGTTTTGCATATCAACTACAAAAATGCTCACACGTCCAGAGTGCCCCAGACCTCCCTCGGGGTTCTTGCTTTGTACGCTGTAGTCTAGGAAACTCTGCACACCCTCACTACCAC